TCAGTTATTTAATTTTAAAATAAACCAATATGTAGTAATAGTATTCTTTTAAAATAAACTAATACATAGCAATAGAATATAAATAAAAAAAAAAAACATATCTATATATTTGAATTTAATTTAAATTCAATCAAACAGAGCCATATTAGACTATGCAAATTAAATTAATTATTTTTTGTTATATGGAACAAGCTAACAGGATCTGGCTAGCTAGCAAAAAATATTAACATATAAAAAAATTTTATAAATTTTTTTTTATACAAGAATAAAACATTTTATAAAAAAAATGTTGACTTCTCTAAAAAAGTTATCTAGCTAGATAATGAAAAACAATTTAATTTGTTTGTATAGTCTTACTTATTTTGGGTATAATCTGTATTTATAGTATGGTTAAGATTGAAAGCTTCAGATAAATTTTCTATTAAATATTTCACAAATGAAGCTGTTAGAATTGCAATGTGAATTTATTATTAATATAATATCAAAAGCTAACTGTCAGAATTCATATAGCTTAGTTTTTCAAAAAGTGAGCTGAATAGACTACTCAACTCTCACTTTGCTTTATGGTTAATTGCTAGATGTATATAATTACTTAACAAATCACTATTTATAATATTTTCAACATTCTCACATTCTACTTCTTCTTCTTCTAACATAGCAGTTTCTTCATCAATTAACATTTGCTCTCACTCTTGTAATTGACTTTCCTATGCAATTGTATCTGATATATTGGTTTTAATATCTTCTCTAGAATTATTTTTTTTATCTACTTCATCTTGATCATTTAATTTGTTTTGTTCAGCTTGTTTAGATTCAACACTTTGATATGCTGGATTATTAGAAAGTTTGTATAGTTTTTTTTGTTAAATAAAGTTAATTGAAGCATGAATTTGGCACATAACTAACACTTTTTTATTCTATAATTTAATTAATTTGTAAACAAAAAAAAAAAAAAAAAATATAAATAAAATAAATTAAAAACAATATTGTAATTGAATATATTAATTTATAATAATACTCACTTGGTGATAATTTTATTAGTTAGTATGAATAAATCCTATTGAACTCTATAATCATTTTACAGATACTGTATTAACACAAATCTCAAATAGCTATACAGCTAAAGGTCTTAATTCCTTAGTCGAGAAAGAAGTAAATTCCCAAAATTCTAATGTATTTCCTTCAAATTGTTTATATGTAGAACAATCAAATGGATATTCATATTTTCTATATTTTTTAAACTTAAGTAAAATATAGATTGGTTGATATTCAAACCATGCTTTATAGTAATAAGTAATGAATTGAGCAAGGTATATAAAGTTTAAATTATCAGTATTAGTTTTGAACCAAGTATTACAGATACTTGAATTTAAAAGAAAAGCTAATAATAATAATAGTTGTTCTTATTGCTTCTACCTTTGTTTTAGCCATAAGATTATATAATCTGCTAAATTTTCATCAAGATATTCTTCTTACATTTTTAATATTCTACCAAAAAATTGTAATACTTCATGAAAGCAAGCAGTATCTAATTGTAATTTATTGAGAACTTTGCAATAAGAAAGAAGCAATAAGTATAACAATTTTACTAAGTACCAAAAATTATTATTAAGCAGAATTGATATTATATCTCATAGAAGATAAAGTTTATCTAAGTTAGTTGAAGATTAACCTAATTCATCATCTGAATTTTGAGTTAAACTATTTAAAAGAGATTTGTATATCATAGCTAAATTCTTTAAAAAAAAAAAAAAAAAAAAAAAAAAAAATTATTTACCTTCATATCATAAAAATGATTTTATTATTTAATTACTGCTACTTTCATAATTCCTAGAACATCTGATAATTTTTTCATTACCTAAAATATTTATAGTCTTGTCTAGTAAATTATCTAACCTTTCAAAAACTATATCACTATCTTCAGACTTCTAATTTGAAGATAATAATATAGTTTCTGAAAAGTTAGATAATTTACTAAATGAGACTAAAAATATTTTGAGTAGTGAGAAAATTATCAGGTGTTCTAGGAATTATAAAAGTAGCAATAACTTTAGAATTAAACTTTAATTTATTGATTAGATCAAATTTCCTTATTATATCTGATATTACAATTATAGTAGGTATATAATTTAAAATTCTATAACAAATTTTTTTAAAAAAATATTTTACTTACTCTCAAAGCTTAGCAGGATTTTATTAAACTTTTAAAGTAGTAGAAATAAGAATTCTAATGAGTATCTGCTAGGCAAACTAGGGTAATACATATTTTATATACTTGAAATTGTATATCTCAAAGTTTTCCAATAAAGTATAAATTAATAGTATAATTAAAATATTAAATTATTTTTAGAGCCTGTTTGAATGTGACTTTGAATTCATTAGATTTCTTGAAGATTTCTTCTACAGCATGATTATATTGATAAGTAAAACAGAGTAAAAAAACAATTTTTAGATATAGTAATCTTAACTAATGTTTATTTAAAATATTAATTTTTTGTTAACTAATAACTTTTTTTTTTTTTTATTAGTTAAAGCTACTTCCTTGGCTGATTGGATTTTATTAATTTGCTATTATAGAGTTACCGTAGTAGTAATCTCCTAAGGTTTTATAGTTACATAATGAGTATACAATAAGCCATATGCACAACTTTAGTTATTGTCTAATTTAAGTAGTCTGCCATACAGATGATTGACCATCTGTTGGTTCTACACTATGCTGCTATATCTGCAACTCGCCTGTGAGTTATCTATTTAAACACTCTGATTATTAACTCTTCTCTCCATTCAAACTAATGTTATATCTATATCTGACCACTTAAGCTAGCTAACTTACCCAGAGATCTATTTACCGCATGACTTAGGTCCTCCTGAGATACGTATTGCCCAACGTATTGTGAACATGCAGAGCTCCAGTTAACCTCGGAAGCGATTCCTACTAGTGTGGTCATATGCCCATTTTACTGATTCATCTAAATTGAACCCTTGTCAATATTCATACAACCCCAGTTCCTACTGTGGCTCTCCACCAGTATTTCTGTATCTATCTTTTTAGATATTTACAAGGCAGATCTTCCCAATCTAGTTAGCTATCAAGCCAAGTTGGTGTTACCAATTCTCATCATAGAACAGATTTATATGCATCTGACTCGATCTGTATTTTTGATGATAGTTTCCTTTCTAGATTAAGCATTAGCTAGTATGACTGTTGAAAGCTGTACTACTTTACTAACTCAGGATTTCTACCATACAGGTCCCCTGCCCATAGATCATTTGTGTGCATATATCATCCTGTGATTAACTACTATCACACTAATGTTTTTTCCTATCAAGATTTATTTATGTAACATATATCATCCTATGATTAACTGCGTCATACTACTAATATCCGATTGATTTGATGTAACTTAACTTACAGGGTTACAATTCAAGAAACGAACAGAATTTACCGTAAGTTAGTTACAAAGGTTCGAGTAATTATTCAAATTTGTCAACAATAGGATTTGAACCCCAGACCTCTTGCATAGCAGTCTGGCAACCTAACCACTACACTAAGATTGCCAGACCTTGTTAACTAATAACTTATTATTAAACGATTTAGAATTTTGAAACAAAAAATTTTTTTTTTTTTTTATATATATATTGTTATAAGTGTCAGCCTTCTTGATTCAATATAAGTAATATAAGACACAAAAGAGAAGCTTTCAATAGTGTTCAAGTAAAATATTACTTCACTGTAGCAGTTCGTTACAAAGTTATTAGTTAACAAGGTCTGGCAATCTTAGTGTAGTGGTTAGGTTGCCAGACTGCTATGCAAGAGGTCTGGGGG